AACTTCACTAAACATTTTTCCATCTACTTTAACAATATTTTTAAATAAATAAACAATGTATGCAACAATTTATGCAAACAATGATCTCATCTTCAACTAATAGTCTTTATCTGAATCGAGGAAACATTTGTTTACATTGAAGAAACCTCTTCATCTATTTATGATTTTTTATAAATTATTACAAGAAAATGTAAAAAAAGTTGATTATAGGTCAATAATTACCCTGAAAAAAATGGGACATTCGAGTAGAAAAAACCTCTTCATTACACTGAAATAAACAATTAATTTTAAATAAATCTTCTATCAGGACCAAGGAAACAATTGTTTCCATTGCATAAACCCCTCCATCTAATCGCAACAAAGTTCATTGCATTCAAATCAGTAGCGAAGTGGTAAACCGGTTTAAGTCGACTTATCTCCCAATTGAGTTTTTGAGGAATATTTCCGAATCTAACGGAAATAGCGAAATTTTCGTAATTACATTTTATGTAGCTCTCAATCAGCTCTACAAAAAAGGTCGTAAGAAAAATTCTGCTATCTCCCTTAGATTCCGAGATATTTATTGAAAACTAGTCAATAGCCAAATATGACTTATACCGTTCTACCATTTCGCTACTGAAATAAACCATCTCTTTATGTGTATCAAAATACTAATAAAAACCATTCCATTTTCCACAATTGACATCTGGAATTCTCGCAACAAATTCTCACCGCGTCTCCTCATATCTAGCTCTTCGCTGACACCTTTTGCAAACTCCAATATCGCCGTATTCTCAATCCTGTAACATTCTTAATGCATGAGACCCCCCGTCTTATGAGAATTCATATTAATTATTCTCATCTCCCCCTAAGAAATTATCCGAAATTCGTTGGCGAAGTGAAGTTGCACTATGCATATTTCATTTTTAATTCCGGAAATGACCCCGTCGGGGTATTGTGTTTCGCTTTTTCCGGCGCACGTGATTGGTACAAGGCGCTACCGGTCGCGAGGAGCACACGAAAATAGAGAGGGTGGGGTTGGGGGATTGGATACTCCGTGGGGATTGTACGCCAGTCGCACTCCCTCTCTCTATCCCTCGGCAAAAAGAAGAAACGATGCCAAAGTTTTGGGGGTTTTTCCCTTGGCTCTATCTGCAACGTTTTGCCATCCCTGTATCTGCACGCGACGACACTCTCGCTTTGCCTTTCGACGTATAACGACGTGAAACGACGTGACGCTGTCGTACGCCGGCAGACAGGACCCCAGAAAACATTTCCAGGGGTATTCTCATGTGTATTGAAAACTCCTCTTATTTTATTTCATTGGTTTTTCGTTTTTTCCAACTTCCACGGTATCTGAAAAACGTCCATCTCCAGGGAAATATTTTCCAGATATTTGAGGAACACGGTTGTTACGGTAAATGGGTAAAAGATAGCGGATGGAATTATTTTGTCTATTTCTTCTCTGTCATCTGGGTTTGGGGGAGTAATCGAGGTCGGGATAAATGTCAGATCGACGATGGTATTTCGAATATTTGAGGATTCATTCGAGAACTGAACATTTCCAACTGATTTTTGAGCTTTTTTTTTTAGAATTTAGAGGGAACTAACAGGACAAGTGTAGACTCGTAGGCCTCAACTTGAGATCTTCACGGACGGAAAAATTTAATAGAAAAAGCTATCGAGTTCGTTAGAAAATTCTGTTGAATTTCTATTGAACTGTTCTATTAGTTTCTAAAAGATTTTCAAGCGATTTGAAATGAACACGCACGAAAAAATTTAATAGAAAAACCTATCGAAACCTATCGCCACCGTCCTTCTAACGGCAAATATTATTAAAAACTATCATTATATTTTCCTGAAAAGAATTCTTATTATTTCAAATAATTGATTTTTCAGTTTTATAACTATAACATTTGATTATTATTTCGATTCCGATTATTATTGGCCGATTCTATTGAAATGTCCAATAGAAAATATTCAGTAGAAAAAGTCAATAGAATTCAATTCTCCTATACAACTTATTCTAGTGAGATATTTTCTATGGACTTTCCTCGGCTCAAATTTTCCAAGTTTTTTCGTTTGATTTCCTTGATGAGAAGGAAATAAAAATAGAATGAAAAAAACTGTTGACTTTTTCTATGAAATATTATGTTATTTTCTACTGAACATGTCAACAGAATCAGCTAAAAACTAATAGAAAGTTTGATAGAAATCCACTACAATTTTCTAACGAATTCGATAGGTTTTCCTATTAAATTTTTTCGTCCGTATTCACTGCAAATCGCTTGAAAATCTTTTAGAAATCTGGTAAAAATATCAATGCTGCTTATTACATTAATGACCCAACGAAATCACCGTGGAACAGGGAAATTAAACGTAAAATTTCCAAAAGTTTAAGTTATTCCCACGATTTGTACGTAAGAAAAATCCATCATTTTTTAAACACTTTCCTCAGGCAATTCAGTTGATAAAATGACACTTTCAAATGTCCAAATCTAGACAATGAGTACTCAGACATCCGCATAATTGATTCAATCGATTATACTCATTCGTGTTCCATCACTCTGCCCTCATTTAACCCCAGTCCCACAAGTCAACATTCATCTCTAAAGTCGTCAGGTTTCGGGGTCATACTGAATCATTAATTGCACAAAAAAGCACCAGTGAACAGGGGAATTGAACGTGAAATGCAGCCGTGCTCGATCGATAAATGAAGTCAAGAAAGAGGAACGTCCATGAGACACCCCCCGGAGACTCCTGAGCAAAGTCATTTTCGTTTCTCCCCGAGTTTTCCTCTTGCGAATAACCGGAAATTGTGCGGGGACTTTATTCAGTAGAAGGCGTTCTCCACCTCCTCCTCCTCCTCCAGCGCATTTCAGCGAGAAAAAAAAGTCCCGAGGAAAGAAAAAAAACTCCCCTTTTGAGAAGCACAAAAACGGATTTTAATTTCTCGGTGAGGAACGCTCGGAAATGCGCGCCGCCTACTCCACCTAATTATCCGGGCGCGAATGAGTCATTATAAAATGATATAGCACCGTTCACTTTCCTCCAGATGGAGAGAAAAAATCAACAAGAAATTAATCACGGAGATGGAAAAGTTTCGGAGATATTTTAATCTTTCGTCAGGTTGTTTTACCCTCGGATCCCCATTCTTCTTCATTTTTTAATGAGTTCGTTCTCCTAGCCGGAATTTTCAGATTGATTTCTCTCCCCTTTTTCAATTATTTCTGGAGCATACGAGAAAAGAATGAGGAGCATTCGTGTCTGGGGCTATTTCTGAACATAAACGAGACAACGTTTGACCCTTTGCCGGCTCATATTTACTGTTCAAATATTCATGCAATTATTCGAAACCTGCAATTTTCGTCTAGAGTGGTGACATCTTGGGGTGAAGAGGTTAGCGGAGTTATCGACTCGCTGTCAGACCACTAAAAACTAATTTCTTCATACGAGACCGAACGCGCGCTACAGCGCGCTGTAATCGTAACAATCATAATTGAAAATCTCAAAATTAAATTAATCATGAATTAAATTTGCCGCCTCAGACGACTGGAACCAATGAGGAATGAGCGTGACAGACTTGCGAGATATCGATAGTTATCGACTTTAAGTGTATGTTCTTTTTAGAATAGGAATAGGTAGTTGAAGTAGTACGTACATAACTTAAATTTTGAAGAGGAAAATCTCAAATAAATTCTAAACGGAAGTTGATACGAATAAAAATATTCTGGTTGAGTTCGTGGTCAATTGTCAGGCTAATATTATTGATAATAATTAATTCAGCAGTGGCAAAATAACACAGATGAAAAAATTATTTCTTCGAGATTAGAGAGAAGATTAAAATGTAGAAAGAATCTAAAGAAATGAGAAGAAAATGAATAAAAATTTTATGCCTAATATGAAGATTATCGTCAGTGTTAAACTTTTGTGATAAATAATTTATGTTTCCGGGTGCACTTAATTTACAGGATGGCCTAGTTAAACGAGCAACTCTTGTTTAAGGAAATAATCGTAGAGCGAATATGATTCATTTGATCCTAAGTTTCCGGACATTTTACGATGATTTTATTATTTAGATTTTGCCGGTCTGAACAATTTTTTTTTTCATTTTTTTTATGAAAAAAAATTGAAAAAATAAAATAAAAAGGTAACTTCTTTAAAATTACGAGCATTTCCTATAAATAATTTGTAACAATCAATTTCCCGCTATAAAAATCATTTGTTCGAAATCGTAACAAATTTATTTGCATCCAGAATTTCACTAGAAATCGAGTTTAAGCAAAAAAAAATGCGGTTTCCGAAAGTTTAGACAATTTCAATGACTTATTTACAAACAACGCCTCTTTAAAAAAAATAATTCTGTGCAAAAGTTGATTTGAATCGCGCAGAATATTCATGATTTTTTTTCAAACTTTCCTCCCGCAATTTACTTGACAAATTTGATGATTGAAAATGGCTAAATCTACAACGTGGTCTGCACCAATGCCGTCCAACAAACTGCGTCCGCCCCAGCACCGAAAAAACCGAATTATTCCACCAAAAAACCTCGGAAAACCGGCAATTTAAAAACTCACGATTTTACCTTATACCTCGTCGCTCGTGGAACATGAAAATAGCAGCGGACAAACGGGGCAGTAGTGGAGGAAAGGGGAGCATCTAATAATAAAGACTCAAAAGCCACGGTCGTCGCGAGTTCACCGAAAGCCGCTCTGACCGAAGACGTTCCCTGCAAACTCCCAGAAGATATTAAAAATAAACGATAACCAAAATTCACTCCGAATAATTACTCACCTTAAAAAAAGTCCATCCTCCAACCCAATAAATCAGCACCATCATCACCGAAACAATCGGCGCGAGTGCCCTCGCGCCGACTGTGTGAAAAAATTCTAAATAAAGAAACTCGGCAAAACGCTGCCTAAACAGTGTTGGTGATAGCCAAGTGGTAGGGGGATGTGCAGTGTTCGGAATAAAGAAAAAACCCCAAGAATTCATCACAAGTGGGAAGGAAGGAACAAAGTATGGTAGAGCTTAACGAGTACAGTAGCGAGGAGTGCAGTTTATCGTCAGCCCGCTCGGGCACGTCAAGTCCCCGTTTTTCATTATTCAAGTGGTTCAAGCGTTCGCCAAAGCCCCAGCACAATTCCAATCCGCGTAAGATCAGGATTGCGCCTGAGAGTGTGTTCTCAAGCAGTGACAGTGTCGACACGTTCTACAGTACCGCGACAGTCCGGAGTTTCGCCTTTCAGGCCGGCCGATCGGGCCCTGAACTCCACACGATAGACCTAGCGCGTCAGGACCCAACGAAAGTCGGACCCTTCGGCGACGGTGCTGTCAAAATTCTCGAGAGAGATGCGAGAAATTTGACACTGAATGTCACAAGAACATTGCCGGCCAATGTCCTCTCCCGGCGACGTGACATTACCGCCAGATATTCGTTGCAGACATGCACCACGTCATTCGGATCTTGCAGCAACATTAGTCACCAGAGGAATCTGTCGGGTGCAGTTAAGCGGACTGAGGATCGGGGGAACATCAGGCGGGTTCATGTGAGGGGTAAGAGACGTGCGCCAAATCCCCCGAGTGCGAGACCGAGAAGTCTCTGCGAGGTTCAGGAGATCGTGGTTGTCGGTACTGGCAAGAGGAAGCGAAGACCTGCGCCAAAGCCACCGGAGCATTTGGTGAAGAAACGCGATACGGGAATGGATGGTGAGAGGAAGAATCAGGGGACCGGTAAAATTCAATTATTTGGTGAGCCCGCGGGTAGGAGACAGCCTGAGGCCAAAGAGGTTCAGAGCATCAGCACAGATACTCTGGTGCTTCGAGGTGGTGTTCTTTTGCCGAAGAGGGAAGCTCATTCGTCAACAGCCGCCGCCGTTGGAGGTCAGAGCACTGCGATGCCGCGACCTTGGTACAAGAGGAATGTCTTTGAGCACTCGAACGTCAACAAAGAGACCTCGAGTAGCGTTGCGCCTTCGTCAGCTGCTTCGGATCCCTCCAGGAGCCACGACGAAGGCTCCCTCAGACACTTCTTCAGCCGCTCCGACCGGAACACTAGGGACGGGAAGAAAGGGGTGAAGCGACAGTCGGGGCTGTCGATCCTCACGAACATCAGCGAACTCGACAAAGAAGCTGCGGCGATCGTGCAAGAAGAACAAGCTAAGTCGCGAGCAGCCATGCTACTTGAGGCATCGCGGCTCGGCGAGATCGAGAAGAGAATTGATGGTAATGAGGAGGTCGTGCAGGACATGGTAACGTCCGCCATGGAGAACTCCCCGAGAAGGGGCACACGAGCTCTCATTTCCAAGTTCAATGCCATTGGGAATATCACTAAAGTCACGGTGAATACGAGTTTCTTCGCTAAGCGTGATGGGAGTAAGGGAGATCAGGGGGAAGATTGGAAGAGGCGCAGCAGAGTCCCGGAGGGGCCGAGGGGGGAGAAGGATATCAGTAAATACTTCCGGAGTCATCAGGTGGGTGATATTGATGAGAAGGGACGGAGGTGGAGCCCGAAATTGGGGAGTGATGCTAGGAGGGCGATCGATGCCTCTCGGAGTGCTTTTTTAACGGGAAGTGCTGGAGGTTCTGTGTCGCAGAATGCTGAGAAAGTTGGGGAGAAGAAGATTGGGAGCGGTGATGCCGCCGGAGCTGGGTAAATAGTAGTTTATTTATTTAAAAAATACCAACAGAGTAAGTTGGCTAGGAACATCAGCTTGTATTTACCCCTTCCGGCAGATATAGCTAGGGGGGAACAGGCCGAAATTTTAATAGAACTCCAGTAGAACTTGTTTCTTTCTTTATTGGAAAAAGATTCTAGGAGGAAATCCCTTCGGGGCTGTGAGAAAATACGTAAGATTGCAGAAATTTTTTGCGAAAGCCACACTGGGCGTATTATAAACATTATTAGGAAAATAAAATAAGGAACTATAACCCGCTCAAAAATACATGGCCCATACTCGCACGAAAAGCGCAATATGAAGGAGCCGACGTGGAAAATATATGAGTCCTATATAATCCATACATGTACAATTGTACGTGAGGGAATATAGGGGAGGTTGGGGTAAAACGGACACTAGACTTTTTTTTGAATGTTAATGAGGGGTTGAAAGGTTAATAAAATTTAATTATTTTTTTTCAATACAAAGAACAATTCTTTCCCTTTGTGGCGAGCCTAAACTGAGCTCTACTTATAAATTTGGTTTTGAGTTATGAATAATTTAAAGCAAGTCGAAAGTGTCTATTCCACCCCACCCTCCTCTATACCAAAATATAGGACGTAAATACCGGTATATGTGAAAGTATGGTAAATTAGCCGATGGTTGTATACGAATTATAGATGAAGAATTATATACGATCTCATAGAGGACAAGTACATGACTCATACATCCAACATGTATTTTCTCATACATTTCATTCTATATAAGAATATATGCGTGCAAATATGTATAATAATATATCTGATGAGCATATGAGTCATATATTCAATATAGATTATCTCATATATTTTTCACCCTCATATATGTAAAAATATATGACATATGACATTTCAGTAGCGAAGGGGTAAACCGGGTTAAGTCGATTTTCACTTTTGCCAGTTTTTGATGAACATCTCGGAATCTAAAAGAGATAGAAAAATGGTTCTCGGAATTAATTTCCCCAATAAAAATTTCCCGGAAGACATTTCTCTTAACAAAAATTTCCCCGGAAAAAATTCCCCCGAATAAAATTCCCCCACAAAATACCTCAAATACTAATCAATCAAAGATTTATTTTTCAATTCATCATCAACTGCCAATTTACAACAACACAAAATTAGCTACATCCTTCAAGAATTTATCACATTCATTATATACGTTCACAAAGGAATGACTCAGTGGCCACATCCAAATAAGTTCAGTTAAACGAATTATAATTGACAACCCCCACAAAATGGGAAAACAAGTCAAGGAAAAAATTATAAAAAGAAATTTTAAAATTTCTGTTCGGGGAAATCTTTACTGGGGGAAACATTTTCCGGGGAAATTTTTGCCGAGGAATTTTTTTCGGGGAAAAAAACTCCGGTCACCTTGAAGATATCGTAAAATCCCTGAGAAGAAAAGACATTAAAGCTATTTCAAAATTCTTCAAAAATTGTTCAATTCAGATATAAAATGTGTTTAACAAAGACACAAACTAATTAACTAACATTAAGAGACTATTACAATTTATATATTTTACTACTACGTAATGATAAATTGTAATAAATGTATTGGTAGCTGAATGAGCCCGAAAGGGGTTCGGAGGCTTAATAAAAAAATAAAAAAATTGACTTAACCCGGTTTACCGTTTCGCTACTGGTGTATGCGTCATATATTTTTTTCCATGAGGTTTCCATTGGTAAACTATTCTAAAACGAAACTACACAGACAGCAAAAGACTCCTGATACGTTGTTAACCGAGCAGAAGACACAAGACGAGCAAAAGACTGTCCGTGCGCCCAGGGCTTCTCACAACCCCCGAGAAAATATCGAATAGTATCTCATAATGAGCAATTATGAAAATTACCATCACCACTTGATCTTTCAGGAAATACTGCCCAACGATGGATGTTACCAATCGTCTCTCAGCCCTTCAGGATATCATTAAGAAGCATTCATCCCCAATCCCCACTCGATCTTTAACTAGCACCATTGGAACATCTCAAGACGATGAAAATAGCAGTGGAAGTTTTTCAAATTCACCAAAACTTCTCCGTAGCAGAGTTACTGAACATCGAGATACACGTACGGAAAAGTTTGACGAAGTAAGAACTAGTGCTGAAGTTATTCAACGTGAGTTTTCCCAGATATTCGAGGAGATCGACAGGCAATTGAGTACAAGTAAGTTGAGGCTTGAACAACAGCGATTGGTGGAGGGAAGAAATTTCAAGAAGAGTGATTCGTCCAACCAGGTGAGCAAGGTGTTGGATATTCTTGTTCAGACTGAGAACTTGCGGAAGAGCGAGAAAGTGGAGAAGAATGATAGAGCCAAAACGACAATTGTTAGTTCTGAGAATAGAGTGACGGATTTGAAGGAGATGTTGAAGGAGATGAAGCATTCGCTGCCGAAGCGCCCGAAACCGAAGAGGCCGGACGATGTCAGGGCTATTCCCTCGACTTCAAGATTTCAGGAGTCAGTTAAAGTTACGGCGCCACCAGTTCTGCGGATGGCAGCCCCGAAGTCGCCGAAAATCGAAGTCGAGAGGCAGAAAGTGTCCTCGGGGGTGCAGACCAGCGGAAACATCCGGAGGATCGATAACTTGAGCCGGAAGGACCCACCTGCGCCAGGAAAAGGCTCCTCTGGAGTCGTCAGGAAGACGTTCCATCTCATGAGACCCAGGGAATTCGCCGCCATCGAGGCCATCATGACGATGAAGAATAGCCAGGAGGAGAACACCTATGCCAATGTCATCGAACAATCCATCTATGCCAATGCCATGGTCCTGCCCTCCCGCAGTCACCGGATCATACCCACTCCTACCGTGTTCGGAGCCAAGAAGAGAGAAACATCACCAACACCTGATGCACATCCTGCTCTTCAACTGTTCAATGCCAGCGGTAGGTTCACTGTCCTCGAGTGTTTTCTTTAGTTTAGTCTAATGTTTTTTGGTCTGTACATGCTCGAATGATTCAGGATGCCGGGCTATTTATACGGGTTTATGAATCAGTGGGGAAACTCGTGTCTCTGGGTTTCTTTGAATGTTTTCGTTTGCCCTTGGCTGTTTTGTTTTTTTAGCATTGCTCGTTTGGATGGGAAGTATCTTCGGTTACGGGGTCCATTAGGATTTCAATTCGTGACGCGTTTGACCCTAGGGTGGTGTACATTTTGGAATCATTTTTTTATTCTCATTTTGAATTTGCGATTTTAATGGTGCTTTTTTAAGCGGCGGAAAGCTTCTGGAAAATTAGAAAAATTTTGAAAGTCTACGAGTCTAAGTTGGCGTACATTTTGGAATGATTTTTTTATTCACATTTTGAATTTGCGATTTTAATTATGCTTTTTTAAGCGGCGGAAAGCTTCTGGAAAATTAAAAAAATTTGGAAAGTCTACGGTTGAAGAAGATTAATAGAATTGTGTGAAAAATTTCTATTTTTCGAATTTTTATGTATCGAAATACAGACGTCAGTACTTTGTTTACAAATTTCAGGCAGATATAAAATAGAAAATCGGAAATTCAACGATACAAAAATTACTAAATTCCGATAACAGACTTTCGAATGGTGAACATTAGAATTTTTTAATACTTTAGCCAATTTCATTGCGATTGACTACCGCCATGATTGGAAATAATGACGGAGTTGTCAATGGGACTTGATATCATAGTTAATATCGCTCATGTTGATAAAATGATCGGTTCATGACTGCAATGAACATTGTTCGAATTAGTATCTTAGTATCTTCGATACAGCTATAATTATACGTGGATACGCCCATGGTCTTTTCTTCTTTCTCGAATTTCCTAGAAACTCCTTGCATTCCCTCGAATTTTCTAGAAACTTCTCGAATTACCTCGAAATGTCTAGAACTCCCTAGAATTCCGATAGATGGCGCTGCACATAAGGATCGTTTCCCAAAATGACCCCCATAGTGAAACCATAGACGTACCCCGTCAAAAAAATTGTCGGCGGCTGTATCTTCGATACAACTGTAATAGTACGTGGATACGTCCATGGTCTTTCCTTCTTTCTCGAATTGCCTAGAAACTCCTTGCAGTCCCTCGAATTTTCTGAAAAGTCCGTGAATTCTCTCGAATTGTCTTGAATTTTTGCGAAATTTCAAGAAACTTCTCGAATTACCTCGGAATGTCTAGAACTCTCTAGAATTCCGATAGATGGCGCTGCACATAAGGATCGTTTCCCGAAAATGACCCCCATATTGAAATCATAGACGTCTCACGTCAAAAAATTCATGAAATTGGCTGCAATTTTCTACTATCCTACTTTTCTCCTGAACATCGTTAACTGCTGCATCCAGGATACAGCACTCCCTTAGAATTTTTTTGCAAGAGTTTTCCGTCATATTATCCCAGAATGCAACTGCTCCTAGACTAACCTGAACCCGCACCATTGGTCACATGCTGTCCAATCATCGCCTTCGTATCATGCGATAGTGACAACAACAATTTCCGTTCCGAGGACGCCGGTATTACATTGGGTTGCAACCGACTCACCGACCGTCTTCACCCGCCGATTAATTTTTTCGATTCGCCAGCCCAAGGCAGCAACAAAATAGCAATATTTCCCCCAACAAGTGTGTGAATCAGTGATTTTTGAGGTAATAAACATAGAAAAAACTCGTAAACCGCAGGGACCGACGCCGAGGGTGGCACGATGGCCCAAAACATGAACACGATGGCGGTCAATCGCCTCCTGAAGAAGCTGGAGGCTGCCATCGCCTCGGGAAATCATCAGCAGGCCGCTGGGTTCGCCAAGGAATTGGCTAAATTGAAGATACAATGCTCCGTTGTCAGGCAAAAGGCCAAAGTCACGGATGTCCTCAATGTCGATATGTTTATCGAAGACAGACTGGCGCATCAGGGCCCAATTCCCCTACAAGTACGTGAAAATATCCATTTTTATCAATTCTTTTCTCTCGTTCATCTCGATTATTCACTAATTTATTCGATAATTCATGATAAATATCTCGAGAATTTCTGCTTTGTTTATTAGATCTTCAACTGATTTTCAGCGCCAAAAATGTTTCTTTACGATTTACGTTGTATTTATAGTTATGGCGGGACATTTGAAAACAAAAGTGAATATCCTAACATTTTTATTAATAATCATTTTCAATTATTTTATGAATAATTAATTAAAATTAGATAAACAAGTATGACAAGAGGAAAATTTGTTGTTTTCGGGAATACCACTAATAATAACACTAATGACACTAATGATAATAAATTGAATTACTATTATTATTATTATTATTATTAATTGATTTAATTGGATACACATTATTGAGAAACTTATCAATCATTCTATTAAAATTCTATTGGAATTCCATCTGAAATTCAGCACTCTCGTGAAATTTTCTGTTTCATTTCTTGAGATTTTTTTGAAGGAACGCTAGATGTCTTTTTGAAAGACTAAACTAAATTTCGAAAATTTTTGTTTTACTCATTTTTTCGCAGCTTGCAGTGACAATAACATTGATACTTAATAAATTATTCATGAAAAAGTTGATAATCCTCCAAAATGACAATTTTTAAAATTATTTTATGAATCTTTTAAAGAAAAAACATTTTATATTTCTCACCAAATAATAAAAATCATTGTAAAATGGCTCAAATGGAAGATTAATACTGAACTAGAAGTTTTAGACAGCCCTTCAACTAAATGAATGTCCAAAATACTTGAATACCCTCAGAATAATGAAAATATCTTGGAATAAATGTTCATGAATTTTTTCGATGAAGAATTCTTGAAGGAAACGCTCGATTTTCCGCTTTCTTTTTTTAATGCACGAAAAGTTGTCTGAAATGTCATTAAATTACTCATTTATTAAAATAGAAAAATTCAACCAATTCAATTTGATCATTTCCTTATTTTAAACAATGATAAAAAAGAATAAATTAGATTTGGAAACCTTTGTTTCACACATTTTCCCGCAGCTTCCAATAACAATGTCCGTTGGAGAATTGAAGTACAAGATTTCCCAGGAATTCCAAATTCCACCGAATGTGCAGAGATGGATAATCGCCAAGAAATTAGCAGACGATGACGATGCGACACTCCAGGAGCTCAACGCTGTCGAGGGACTACCTGTTTTCCTGTACCTCGCTGCACCAGGTGTGTTTCCATGCCTCTTCATTTCCATTCGTGAATGTTAAACAAGTAATGAGCATGACTCACAAGTGAACGATAATTAATTTTTAGTATTACAGATCGATAATGGAGCTAAGGCTGCTGGGGTTGCTCCCGAGGATGACAAAATGGAAGAAAATGAGGAAATTGATATGGCTCCTGCAGAGGAATCATCTGATGAAGAATCATCTGATGAAGAGGCTCCTCACCCCTTGTTTCCTGAGGTTGTTACGACGAATGGTGTAACGACCCCAGGAACTTCAGATGTTGAGGTACACTTAGTACAAGTGATTTCTAAGGAGAAATTATCACTCTTCAAATATACTGTTGAAAATTTTCCGACTGATCAATTTTCAAATTTTCCATTAATATTTATGCTAAATTCTTCACAAATAATTGAAATTTTCTCACACTTTTGAGACTTCGCAGCAGATATCCCTTTCTGTACCTGAAAATATGTGAATCGAAAAAATTTGCAGTGTCCCATACAAAATATTGGTTTATTCATTGGTAATTTTCCCATTGAAAACTTGGAAATTTAAATAGTTGCCCTGAATTTTGGGGATTTAGACTGTTCAGGCCTAAACTTTCAACAATAATTAATTAAACAAAATGGTATTAAATATCTATAATCATTTATTGCATCTGTGCTATTGCATTTATGCAAGGGGGGTGAGCCACCGCTCAATACAAGAAAAACATTAAAACATTGAGGTATCCTATGAGAGAAAAGACACTTATAATCATTTTGCAGTGAAATTATACCACATAAAACGACAGTTTTAAAATGGTATTAAATATTAAATATCTAATAATTTGTTTTTTTATAACAAAAATTGCCTTAAACCTTCAACGTTTCTTTTGAAATCTGAATCTGTTTATTAGTCATCTTATTTTCTGAGCAATTTTGGTAATTTCCTCAATTCTGATTTCAACCAATCAGAATACTGCAATCGAGGTCACGTGATACCTTCACGTCAGTGTTGATAATTCAAACTGATGATTCCCCAGTACCCTATCAGTTGTTTTCCCTTCTTTCAACACATTTATCTCACATTTTGGTGATGTCACATAACTCCGAACACCGCACTCTGCTCAGCCCAATCCAGAATTGACAAAATTATCCTCCGAAAACCCCTCGACCATCAAAATTCATCGGATATTTCCCTAGAGCTTCCCCACGAGGAAACGAGTGTGTCATGTTTTGCAGAAAAATCGTTAAGCCTGTTAAAAAAAAAGAAAGCCTTCAAAACTTGACACTTTCATTTGTTTACTACGAGCCTTTCGGGAAGTATCCGATAATTTTGAAGATTTCTGGGTATTGCAACTGAATATTCACAGCTCCATGGAGAATATTCCTCAGTTCGTGAGTTATTTTGACTAAAAATCTGATAATTCAGAGCTTCAACTAAATTTGAAGGGACTCTAACAACAATCGATAAAATATTTCAATTATTACTTCAATATCTCCCTCAATTATTTCACAGGAAGAACCACAACCAGAAGTAATGCAAGAGGCCAAAAAACCAAAGTACGACGAAGTAACCGTTGAAGAACTAGTATCTGAGAATGAAAAACCAGAGAACCCCGAAAATGAAGCAAATCCAGATGATAACGATGAAGAAGGTGCCGTTGGCATAATCGAAAGGTCCAAAATGGAGTACAACGAGTTAATAATGCTGGAAAATTGTGGACTCGTGCAAAACATTATCGCCATCGAGTGCCCAATTTGTTTAGATATTTATGAGCCTTTGGAGGGTGTTGTTCTTCGGGACTGTCTCCATGCATTTTGCAGGTGATTAAAACTATGTGAAGTTCATTTTCGATAAAATGGTATTATTGCCAGTATTGTTGTGGAATACCAATGTATTTTATATTTGAATAATCGGCCTTGTGTTCACGTGAGACTGAGGAAATAATTATAAACAAATCTTTTAGAGTTTTGTACAGAATTTTTTTAGAATGTTCGTTGATTATAAATAAATTATTGAAATTGTTTAAACTTTCGCAAAACTTGTTTTAGGAATAAAATCGATTTCTAGTAAAATTTTCAATATCAATAAATTTGTTACGATTCCAAACAAATGATTTTTATAGTGGAAAATTTGAAATAAAAAAAAATCGTTATTTTTAATAATTTCATCAGTTTTCCAAGAGTTCTATTTTTTTCAGATTTTCAAAATACTTTCTAACGGCACAATATCGAAATTCAAATTCAGACCTGCAAAGTTTAAATAATAAAATCATTGTAAAATGTCCAGAAACTTAGGGTCAAATGGGCCTCAAATTAAAGCTCTGATGTTCGACTACGAAAGTAGAAAAGCATTTTAATGGAGAAAAAATAGCCAAAGTACTTAGATATCCTTAAATAAATTCACTGATTGAGTCATACATAAAAACGAAAAAATATCAAAAATTGTTGAGTCAACAAATGCACTTCTAAGCCATCAGTTGAACCCATTATCATTATTAATCCGATTTTTTTCCATCTCCATACATTTTCATAAGAAAATTAGAAGAAAGTGGAGGAAACAATACCGTTTTTTTAAATGAATTAATAAATGAAAATTGTCTTGATTCATTTGTTGCACAGAGCTTGCATAAAGGACACGATCAAATACTGCAGCGAGGCTGAGGTCAAATGTCCATATGGAGACGCGGTCTACACGTGCGAGTCGACACTCCAACAACGTGAGATAAAGGCTGTGAGTATTTCCGAATGAATTATGACACATTCAACTTTATTTCACAGTTGAAGTTTTCTTCATTTTGCTGTGATGGTTACAGCTGGTTGACGCAGATGTCTACGAGCAGTACCTCGCCAAATCAGTTTCCCAAGCTGAGAACAACGCTGGACAAAATGCATTCCACTGCAAGACACCTGACTGTCCCGGCTGGTGTATTTATGATGAAAACGTCAACAATTTCTTGTGCCCTGCTTGTGATATGACGAACTGCCTCACTTGCAGAGTAAGTGGACATAAATAATTTTTATTCGTTTTCTTTATAGAATGAGTTTTTTTAATTCTTTAGTATTCACGATGAATTCGTTCGTTCATTCATTCATTCATCGACTTCAGGTGGATGTAACACAACTGAAATGCATCAATCTGTTGAAATGAGAATATCCCATCAAATGTATAACCATAAATTATTTTTTAAATTATTTCTTTAGAACAATTTTTACTGTTCTCTTTTAACACAGCAAAGTCATTTTTTTAAAGGAATGGACATCCTTCATTGGTGAATTCATTCCATGAAGAAACATAGAACTTTCTAGGTCTAAATTTCGAAAATATGAAATCTACTTTTTGGGCAAAATTTATAAAATGATTGAAAATTTTAAATTTTTGAAAATGACCACCTGTTTCATAAATAATTGATAAATAACAAAATTTTCATTGTGCAGAGCTTTTTTTCAAAATTGTCACAAATTTTTCCGTACTTAGAATTTGACCAGAAATCGATTCCATGTCCAAAAAATACTGTCTCTGAGATTTTACTCAATTTCTGGAATTTATTCATGTATGAAGAATTAAATTGTGAATTATTTCCACTCGTGTTACATCCACCTGTCATCGATAAATCCCCCCCCCC